GGCACCATCTAGTTCTTCTAGTCTCATAGTTGTATAGGCTGCAGATTGGATGGTGTACCAGTCGCCAGGACTAACTGTTTCCATGAATTTTGGTTTTCTTCATTCTTCTTTGCTCTGGACGAGGAGAGACCCATCGTTGCATCTAGATGGCAGCTTGCTATGAGACCATTTTTCTAAAAACCTGACTGAGAGGGAAGGATTATCACTGTTCTGAAAACAAAAGCCTGTCATTTCCCATTAACTGAAGCATCTGTTTGGTTGCTAGAACTGTGATTTTTATTGCGGGACTATATCAAACGTTGGTTTCTAAATATTTCCAGTGGGTAAAGTCCTACCTACCAGGGCTAATACTGTAGTAAAATTGTCACTGAGTGGAGTGCAGAGGAAGAGAAGCTTCTAAATTAATGCTGACTCCTCTAGTTTCTGTGACTGATACCATCAAATTTATTGGTGTGCTTGTGTATGTATGTATATATGTATGTATGTATGTGTGTGTGTGTGTGTGTGTATATATATATATATATAATTTTTTTCACTGAAAAATAAAACACAACAAATAACTTAATCTACAGCTTACTAACTGAACCCAAAGTGCAATTAAAATGCTTACCCAATACTCTTAGTCTTATGGGTATCTGATTTAGCATAGTAATGCTAAAGATAACACTGAACAGAATTATCAAATACTTCATCTATATCTGAGTTATAAAAGGACCCAAGCACAAAGTAGACCCAAAACCAGCAAGAGTTGAGCTATAGTATAAATTATGAACGCAGACTTACCCACTGCACCCGATGACTTTATTGTACAGATATGATGGCAGGCCCTTCAGGTGAATGTTGTTATCCACGTACACATATTGTAGTTCTCGAGATCGACCTAAATCTAGGTCAGAAAGAGAAGGGCTATAATTCCTATATTATGTATCAATACAATGTGAAATGTAAAATCTACTAAACAATATCAGAAATATTCAAAATTCCCATTCCAGAAGAAAAAAATGTAGATTTAACTCTGAATGTGAAATATGTCAGCTGCATCATCAGATTCTGTATCAGAAAACATGACTTTAGAAAAATTTTAACCCACGCTGAGTTTGATTTCATAAACTGTAAAGTGAGATAAATGGCTTTAGAAATATTACTAAATTTCCTTCCTGTATACAAATTCTGTCTTTTTATAGAATTTCAAATGAAGAAGAAAGTGTTCTTCATTATTCATATAGTTGTTTTATTTTTTTCCAAAAGAAAAATATGCTATACAAAGTGATTACATTCTCAGGTCAGCCTGGTTCAGCAAGCTAATCAAGATTCACTGTGTTTCCCCTGCCCTAGGCAGAACGAGGGGAGGGGCAGAGAGGGACAACAAGGGATCAGGGGCTGGATAGCTGGGGTCTTAAGCCCAGGTGAATATGGAAATGAGTAAAGCAGAACTCCAATCCCAGTCCCCGGTGAGGTATGAAGGTGTGGCTAGGGTAGACCTGTGGGCCAGTGAGCTTGCTGTTGTTGTTGTTACGTGCCATCGAGTTGGACCTGACTGACAGTGACCTCTCCATGGGTTTCTGAAGCAGTATCACTATGGAAGTGGGTTGCCCAACTTTCCTTCCCAGGAGTGGGTGGTGGGTTTGAACTGCCAGCCTTTTGGTTAGCAGTCAAGTGCCTTAGCAGGACCTGGAAAAAGTATGTACCAGGACTGCAAAGAATGGAGGAGGACGGCCTCAAAAGAAGCCTCAAAAGAAGATTTGCAACAAGAACAGGTATGCCATAAAGAGGGAGAATTCACAAAGTCTTCCAGAAGTACAAGGATTGTGAGAGTGGCAAGAAGTGGAGAAGGATTCCTTCAATGAGGAGGTAAGGTACAAAGAGCTGAGAAAAATGTCCTGACATACAGGCAGGAGAGACACACTTTCAAGTCTAGAGGCTATCCCTTGTCTCCTGCCTGCAATGCCCCAGCAGGTTTGGCCAGCTGTCCTCACTCTCAGCACTCAGAGTAGGGCTTGCAAAACAATCTCTAGCAGCTTTGTTCACCCTCTGTTTGCTGAAGCAAGAACATAATCTTTGAAAGGTTTTCTTTGGGTTCTGCTTGTGAAAATAGGAAACAGGCTGAAGGAGATCATTCCCACCCATCTTTCTAAAGTTCAAGAAAAACAAAGTCCCACATAGGTAAATTAGGAGGGTCGTAGATTAATTTACGTTTCAAAAAGAAAACCCATTTACCCATTATAGACCTTTTATGCACTGTGCTAGTCCTTGGAGCTACACATTTGTCATTAATAGATGTTTACACAGACATGACAAGTGACAGCTGTAATAATGTATGATCATTCCCATTAGGGCGGCTTATGTAAAGTCTTATGGGTTCACAGTGTGACCTAGGGTCCTGGGCAATTTGGTACAGAACATGGGAGGGGGTCACTTGGGATACAGGTGGGGAAGGGTACTTCAGGGGAGAAGTAAGAAAGGGTTAACATTACAGTCTGCCTTTGTGTTGCTAGTTCTATTACAGTAATCCTGCCTTACACTGGAGCAAGTTATAAAAGGAGGAAGCAGAATTAGGAGAACAGCATCACATCACTGGGGACAGGCAATAAAAGGGGAAGTGCTAACTCTTAGGGAGAAAAAGGAATTAATGGACCACTGGCTAGAGATGCCCTTTCCCAACATGGTGGTTTCAAAACATCTAAAAAATATAAGGTAGAAAAGACTGGCTCCCTTTTTGCTCTCTCTTTGTATCACTCATTCTGAAGGAAGACAGCTTCCACATCATGGAGGCATTCCAGCAGCTCTATGAGGAGGAACTGAGGCACCTCAGCAATAGCCATCAGAAAGAGCTTCCTTGGAAGTCAAGCTTTCATTTGACTACAGCCCTGAAGACAATGTAAACGCACTGCTCTTCCATTTTTTCACCAGATAATTTTAGCATTCCATTGATGGTTTCTTATTGCAAAATTATGTAGAGTTTGTCTAATGATGATTTACCATTACTGTGTCTATATTTACTGGGAATTATTCTTAAGGAAGACTGTTTTTTATCATTACGTTGTTGTTAGGTGCCGTAGAGTAAGCTCCGACTCATAGCAACCCTATGTACAACAGAATGAAACAATGCCTGCCCATGTGCCATCCTCACAATCTCTGCTACACTTGAGCACATTGTTGCAGCCACTGTGTCAATCCATCTCATTGAGTCTTCCCCTTTTTCACTGACCCTCCACTTTACCAAGCATGATATTCTTCTCCAGGGAATGGCCTCTTCTGATAACATGACCAAAGTAGGTGAGATTGTTGTGCCCAGGTTATGAAGGAGTAGTTCGGCATGAGGAATATGCTAACAAACGACAATGCAAAAGCAATAGGAAAGTTTATTAGCTAACTTAAGTTAGGGTCCTTGCCCTTACCAAATCAGTGGCTTGAGCAAAAGACCCCGTGCCCCGGTATTTTCACAAATTTATGGAAAAATATGGGGTGGAGCAGCACCAGGGCGAGAGGGTACAGATGATTGGTGTTGCTAAGGGATTTAGGGCAGTGATCTAAGATGTTGGGGGACATAGAGAAACCCCCCAGCTTCAAAGTCCACTTAGGGAAATATTATCTAGGGAGGATGCAAGGCTCAGGTATGTGGAAGACTTTCAGGAGCCGAGCAGATCGCCGATACGTGCTGAATCCGGATGGCTTTTGTGATGCGTGCTGAGTTCGGAGGAAGTTTCTGATACCTGTTGAGACTGGAGGGCAAATAAAGGCCCTAAGGAGTGTTTAGAATTCCAAAAGTCTTGTTAGTATTGCTGACACTAAAAGGTTTCTGGTTAAAGATTTTCCTGGAAGCTACTAGGATTCTGGCTTCAGACTCACAAGATGAAATCTGGCCATTCTCGCTTTCAAGGAGGATTCCGGCTGCACTTTTTCCAGGACAGACTTCTGGTAGTCCATGGTACTTTTAGTATTCTTCATCAACATAACTCAAAAGCATCAACTCTTCTTCAGTCTTCCTTATTCATTGTCCAGCTTTCATATGCATACGAGGTAATGGAAAATATCATGGCTTGAGTTAGGTGCACCTTAGTCTTCAAAGTGACACCTTTGCTCTTCAGCATTTTAAGAGGCGTTTTACAGCAGATCTGCCCTGTCCAATAGGATGTTCAGTTTCTTGACTGCCGATCCCATTGGGTGTTTATTGTGAATCCAAACAATATGAAATCTTTGACAACTTCAATCTTTTCTCCATTTATTGTGATGCTGCTTATTGGTCCAGTTGTGAGGATTTTTGTTTTCTTTACATTGAAGTGCAATCCATACTGCAGACTGCATTCTTTAACCTTCATCAGTAAGTGCTTCAAGTTCTCTTCACTTTCAGCAATCAAGGCTGTGTTGTATGCCTATTGCAGGTTGTTAATGCTTCTTACTCCAACCTGGATGCCTCCTTCTTCTTCATGTAGTCCAGCTTCTCAGATTATTTGCTCAGCATACAGATTGAGTAAGTATGGTAAAAAGATACAACCCTTCCTGATCTTAAACCATGCAGTATCCCCTTGTTCTGTTCAAATGACAGCCTCTTGGTCTGTGCATAGGTTTTTCATAAGCACAATTAAGTGTTCTGGAATTCCCATTCTTCTCAATGCTATCCATAATTTGTTATGATCCACACAAACACTTTTGCATAATCAATAAAACACAAGTAAACATCCTTCTGGCATTCTTTGCTTTCATCCAATATCCCTCTGACATCAGCAATGATATCCCTTGTTTCACGTCCTCTTCTGAATCCATCTTGCATTTCTGGAAGTTCCCTGTCAATATATTGCTGCAACCATTTTTTAATTTTCTTCAGCAATATTTGACTTGTGTGTGATATTAATGACACTGTTTGATAATTTCCACATTTCTTTGCAATGGGTACAAATATGGATCTCTTCCAGTCAGCTGTCCAAGTAGCTGTCTTCCAAATTACTTGGCATAGACAAGTAAGTGGCTCCAGCATGGCATCCATTTGTTGAAACATCTCAATGGGTAATCCGTCAATTCCTGAAGCCTTGTTTTTCATCAGTTCCTTCAGTGAAACTTCAACTTCTTCCCTCAATACCATTGATTCTTGATCATATGTCACCTCCTGAAATGGCTGAACATCTACCAATTCTTTTTTGTACAGTGTCTGTGTATTCCATCATCTTTTGATACTTCTTGCATCATTCATCATTTTGTCCATAGAATCTTTCAGTATTGCAACTTGTCCTGAATTTTTTCCTCAGTTCTTCACCTTGAGAAATGCTCCAGGTCTTTGCACACTTCATTATAATAATTTACTCTGTGTTCCTGAGCTGCTCTTTGAAATCTTCTGCTCAGATCTTTTACCTCATCATTTCTTTCATTTGCTTTAGCTACTTTCTATTCAAGAGCAATTTTCACAGTCTGTTCTGACATCCATTTTGGTCTTTTCTTCCTTTCCTGTCATTTTAAAGACCTTCTTGCTTTCTTCAAACATGATCTTCTTGATGTCATCCCACAATTCCTCTCGTTTTCAGTCACTGATGTTCAATAGGTCAAATCTATTCTTCAGATGGTCTCCAAATTCAGGTGGGATAAAATCAAGATCATATTTTGGCTCTTGTGGGCTTGTTTTAATTGTTTTTAGCTTCACCTTGAACTTGCATATGAGCAATTCATGGTCTGTTCCACAATTAGTTCCTAGCCTTGTTTTGGCTGAACATATTGAGCTTCTCCATTGCCTCTTTCTACAGATGTAATTGATCTGAATCCTGTGTATTCTATCTAGTGAGGTCCATGTGTATAGCCACCATTAATGTTATTGAAAAAAGGTATTTGCAATGAGTAAGTCGCTGGTCTTGCAAAATTCTATCATGTGATCTCCAGCGTCATTTCTATCACTAATGC